ATGACAAGATACAACACACAACATAGGAACGTACTTCATTTTCTCTATACAGCTGTACAGTATTTAGTCTGAAACCTTGATCCATACCTGAATACAATCAGTACAAAGACTCAGGTAAAATCAGCCATTTTACATTTAACTATACAACATTATTATTTGATACATTCACATCAAAATCTCAACAGCACTCTGCCAGGATACAGTATTCACAAAAATAACTCACATTTCTTCTCCACTCCCTATTGGTTAGGAAAGGAGGAGGCCTTTTTCCAATTTTATAGTTTGGCTAACACTGACAGAAACCACACAGAGGTAATGCTAAGGAATCCATCCTGCATGCCACTAATTGTGATAATGGCATGCATTTCATCAGTGCTGCAGTGATAAATTTTAAGGGGCAAGTCCCTGGTCTGAGACATGGTGGCGCTGTGGGTTAAACCACCAGAAGCCTCTGTGCTGCAAGGTCATTAAATCGTAAGATTGAATCCACGCGATGGAGTGAGCTCCTGTCGCTTGTCCCAGCTCCTGCCAACCTAGCAGTTTGAAAGCATGCAAATGCAAGCAGATAAATTGGCACCACCATGGTGGGAAGGTAATGGCGTTCCGTGTCTAGTCGTGCTGGCCACGTGGCCATGGAAACTGTCTATGGACAAAACACTGGCTCGGAAATGGGGATGAGCACCACGCCCTAGAGTCGGACACAACTGGACTAAATGACAAGGGGAACCTTTACCTTTACCTTACCTGGTCTGATAGTCCTATAGCTATACAGTCAAACCTCAACCTACGAACTTAATCCGTTCCAGAAGGGCGTTCGTAGGTCGAAACATTCGTAGGACAAAGCACCATTTCCCATAGAAATGCACTGATATCCTTTTGGGCCGAAGAAACGGAAGGTACTGAGGCATTAAGAAGGGGGAACCTACAACAACAAACTGTAAAACAACCTCCCTTGTTGAGGCTTTAAGAAGGAGGAAAACTTCCAAAAACACACAGTAAAATGACCTCCCTTGTTGAGGCTTTAAAAAGGGGGGAAACTTCCAACAATAAACAGTAAACCCAGCTCCCTTGCTGAGGCATTAAGGGAAAAAAAGCCACCAACAAAACAGCATAGAAACATATCCGCCCCAACCAAAACCCACCCAGAAGTTTTTTAAAAGGGAAAAACAGCAGCATACCTCCCTACAGACCCCCACACAGGCTCAGTCCGAAAGCAGGAGCTCTCTCAACTGTGACACACCCTATAATGGCCGACAGAGGTACAGCACAAAGAAGCAGCCTCGGCACCATCTATAGTTAGAAAGTTGAATTGCCTGCCTTTTTCCCTGCCTGTTTCTGTTCTTATGTCAAAGCTCCGTGCGCAAGTCGAAGCAATATTTTCCTATTGGAGCAGTTCGTAAGTCGAACCGTTCACAAGTAGGGACATTCGTAAGTTGAGGTTTGACTGTATCCCCAGGGATGGTACACACACACACACAGAGTTGTGTTTATCTGTATTGGCTAACCAATTCTAGCAGTTATTATGGCCATCCCAAATAGGTCTTTTATAAAGTAAACAGTCCTTATTAGCTTGTTTGTGACCAAGCCACCCAACTTAACTTTGCACTAAGTGGCTTATGACTGGAGGTGGTAATGGATTCTTAGCCCAAAACTTCAGAGTGCAACACCCCATTGCAGAGAGCACGAACCACTCCTACAAACAGGATTGCAATGATGTACTCTTGCTAGAAAAATCCACTTTTTCTCCAGTTACTGTAAGAAAACAAGAGAAATGTGTGTGCTACTGTTGGGGAGGTGGAGCCTCACTCCCTGATAATCAGAAAGCTTTGACTTTGTAAGCGCTGGCTGTGCTACTTTTCACTTGTTCTAAAATGGATTTTCTACCAATATTCTATTCTCTGTTATATGATGAAAGTAGAGGCCTTGTCATGTTACTTAACCTGCCATTCAGAATTTAGATGAATGAACATTACTCTAGAAATCTGAGCAGAATTCCCTCCCCAGGGACATATATTTGGCCCGTCAGTGCATGCTTTTAAATGAGCTTTGGAAAATGGACCCATTTGTTCTCCTTTAAGGCTGGATTATTATTATTTTTTTTACTTTTTAATGATCTGTAATGTCAGCTGTCTTCTGAGGATCATGCCTTGAAAGGCAGCCCAGAAATATTTGAAAGGAATAAAATCAATTGATGGGGCTGTACCAAGAGGCTCACCTGATTGTCTATGATGCAATCTGGTATTAACATTTGTCATTGTATCACTGGGTTTAAGCATCTCTTATTGAAATATAATCAGTGATGAAACCATGTAACATGTAGCTAGATATTGACTGGGGCAAAGCAATAGAATTGAAAAGATCTGAAGCCACTGCATTTTGCAATGAGTTGTTCATTAGCTCAATAGAATTGTTAGGTGGGATAGTTTTCTAAAGGACATATTCAGGAGCTCAAGGGAAAACAGTGTACTTGTATGTCTACACATTTTGGGGTTTATTTCACATATGTCCCAGTTACTTGACTTTTGGTGTTTATTTCACATTTGCCTTAGTTATTTGGTTTCTTTGAAAACCTTGCCAGTTATGGAGTTGCAACCAGATATATAACCTGTGGCATGGAATTGCCATCAGTTTGGTAGGATGAGGCACCAAAGGGCATCCTAAGCAACATGTATAAAAATAAATGATTTTTTTAAGAAACCGATTTTGTAATGTTATATCTAATTTTCAAACAAGTTACAGGACTCAATCCAACTGCTACCCCACTGAGTCAATTACTGAATTATAAGTCAAAAAATAACCCCCAGTGATTCAATTGATCTACTATAGCTTGGGATTCAAGTAAATAGTGTTGGCATTTATTTTGATCTCATGGAGAAAAACTGTTCTGTCCACCAAACACCACTCTTTCTTCAGTTGCAAAGTTAGCAGACATGGGGTCAGTGGGTGAATTACTAGAGAAAAAGACTCTGGGTTTATTGAGCAAATTTCACTAGAGGCATTAGCTATATGCTCTAATCCTATGTCCTTTTAGCTGGGAATAATCCCTGATGAACACAATAGAATTGACTTAAATAGACATGTATACAATTGCATTGTAAGTCAGGTATAGTTCCAGATGTTGTTGCAGTTCATCACCCACAGCCAGAATAACCAATGGTGTAGGATGATAAGAATTGCAGTTCAATATCTGGAGGTTTGCAAGTCACCCATCCCTTATGTGCACTGTCTTCTATAGCATCCTGCCAGGTCTATCAAAGTCACAAATGGACTTTCTGTCCTCAAACCGATGTAATTTCTGTAATTGAAAAGTGGGCAAGCTCTGGGGCTGAATTTTCAGCCCCCAAGACTCAGCCAGGAAATGCACTGGGTGCAAGAAACAAAATCGGAGAAATCCTTTATTTGATGGCCGAACAAGATATATGAGTGTTCCTTACCCATTTTCTAGCCATTTTTCACTTATACCAGCCTCATGTGTGTATATGCGTGGAACATCTGAGAGAGGCCTTGAGGTTGCAATCCATGGAGAGCACAGGATTCCCATTCTTTCTATAGTACAAAAAGACATATTGTACAAGTCTTAGGCTCTTAGGTGGTACAAAGATTACTTAGTTACCCAGTGTTTCAATAAATATTGTACCAAAAATATGTGAATTGCCTGCCAAAAAACTTGATTGAAAGCTATTATTTTCTTGGTGACTGACATCATGAAATTTGCTTCAGCTGCCCAGGGACTGAAGGATTGAATCAGCCCATCTTTCAAGCATATGGCTTTAACTCCCATTTTGTTATCAAACTAACCTGCAAAGAAAAAGAAATGTGAATGATGCTAGAGTTCAGCAAACACATAGCTATCCCAGTTGGGCAATTGAGTTTTTCCTGTTTTCATTAGTTAGACTGGTTTCAGGGATGCAGTAAAAATTAAAGGTGCCAACCAGTTTCATTCCAGCCCATGACATGGCAAGCTTCATGTTGACCAAAAACTGAATCGGAAAAGGGCATCATAAAAATAGAAGGAAGTTGTTTGGCAATAACTAGGGAACAAGGCGATCTGTTGTTGTTTGTTGTTGGCACTAGTAATAAGAGTAGACAGTAAAGACATGCTTACTGGATTACCTGCCTACAAGCTCACAATGCTGCAAAAAGTACTCTTGTTGAACCCCCAATTTCCTTCCTCCCTGTTTTTTGATTTTGTAAAGCCACACACTTGACATCCTTTGCACATTTATCTGAGCACACGTCCCAGTGAAATCAATGAGATTTACTTTGAAATACATACTAATAAGATCAGGATGTGAATCTAACGGAAATGTAGAGAGATTCTATTTGGATTTGAAAAGTGTGATCATTGTTAAAGGATAACAATTTTCAAAAAGGATAAAGGGTCCTGTGACACATTAAAAGCTACTACATATATTGTAGCATGAACTTCCGTGGACTGTAGCACATTTCTTCAGATGTATGAAGTGCAATCTAGAATTTCTGTGTCATATACACACATAGTGGTTGTGGGTAGGACCCAGAGAATAAGATCAGAGAAGTAGGCAGTGCAGAAGTTATTTACAGTGACAGATACATTGTTAATACTGGTCATTAAGAAAAACCCTGTAGTGATAGCACAAACATGTTGGTACTTGGTAAGCCAATAACTCTTGTAGTCTGACAAGGAAGTTCTGTAGCATGGTGTAGTTATTATAGGCAGCATCCATTCAGGGAAAGTGTTTGTGTTATGTACTAACAGATCACAGCGAGCTGAGAAGAGGGGAGGAGGTAAGCCATATAGAAAGTACAAATGGTAACACCAAAATGTTTGATCATTGCTGTTTCCCATCCTAGTTGAAATCAAATTTGCATCTTTATTATGCCTTCTTCATCATGATTAATAAAGAAAGAGGGGAAATGAAAATTCATTTCGGATCTTGTTGCTTCTCTTTTTAGATCATCCTCTCCCATAGCTTGCACCTTTTAACTACTTTTCTTGTTTTTTTCTCCTTCCCCTCTAGGTAATTGCCTTTGCCTCCCTTTTTTTCATCTTGGTGTCCATTACAACATTTTGCTTGGAGACACATGAAGCCTTCATCATAGATGTTAATGTGACTGAGACGCTGGTGGTAGGCAACGCAACAGAGACCTTTGTTGTGCGAAAGATGGAGATAGAGCCCATCCTCACCTATATTGAAGGAGTCTGTGTGCTGTGGTTCACACTGGAGTTTCTAGTGCGCATCATTTGCTGCCCAGATAAGATGGTCTTTATTAAGAACCTCCTTAACATCATTGACTTTGTAGCCATCTTGCCTTTCTATTTGGAAGTGGGGCTCAGTGGCTTGTCATCCAAGGCTGCACGGGATGTGCTGGGCTTCCTGAGGGTTGTCCGCTTTGTCCGGATTCTCCGGATCTTCAAGTTAACACGCCATTTTGTGGGTCTTCGGGTGCTGGGCCATACCCTGCGGGCTAGCACCAATGAGTTCCTCCTTCTCATCATCTTTCTGGCTCTTGGAGTTTTAATCTTTGCCACCATGATCTACTATGCTGAAAGGATTGGAGCCAAACCTTCTGACCCTAGTGGTAGCGAGCACACCCATTTCAAGAATATTCCCATTGGCTTCTGGTGGGCCGTGGTGACCATGACAACCCTGGGCTATGGTGACATGTACCCTAAAACCTGGTCAGGCATGCTGGTGGGGGCTCTTTGTGCTCTGGCTGGAGTCCTTACTATCGCCATGCCTGTCCCAGTCATTGTCAACAACTTTGGGATGTATTACTCATTGGCCATGGCTAAGCAGAAGCTCCCAAAGAAGAAAAAGAAGCACATACCTCGCCCAGCTCTACTTGACTCGCCAACATACTGCACATCAGAGGATAACTCACCTCGCAGCAGCGTTCATAGTCATAACAGCCCTTTTGCTGCAACAACAGCAGCTATAGCAGAAGTGATGGAGAGGAAAAGATCAGGTGAGGTTCGCCACTCTAAGTCAGAGAAAGGAATTTTGTGATAAATGTAGATGGAGCTCAACTCCTTCTAGATGCTGAAGGACAGATTGCCCTGCACGCGAGATAAAAAGGGGCTGCAGTCTTCCTATTTGCATCTTTCCACTTTGGATCATCATGGCCATAGTGCCGGCTTTGCAGTGATAACAAAGACTGACTCAAACCAATCCAGAGCTTTGGAACACCACATTCCTCTCTCCCTCCAACCCCCCCTTTTTTGGGGAAATTACAGTTCTCAAAACCTCCGCAACCAACATGGCCAGTGGCCATGCTAGTGGGCAGAGTATGAGAGTAGTGCTCCAAACAAGGAACCTCTTCAGGTTCTGATTTTGCATCATGTCAGTATAGAAATGTGCCCTTTTCTGTTGATGACCAGGGGACTCATAGATGCTTGCTCAAAGGGTCTGACCTGGCTAGTCTGAAAGCCCATTATCATTCTTGCAGCTAGAAATGGAGCACAATTCTCTGCTCTGGTATAAATAAGAAGTAACTGTATTGAGTGAGTGATCTTGTTCTAACAAGTGTCTTCTTGTCATGTCTGATTTAGGAAAATATTTTACTGGAATGTGGGGGACGGTGGAGAGACAATGTCTTTGGCAGTTTTTCAGCAGTGACTTCTTTTGCCCTGTGTTACTTCACGGCCAACAAGCATTCCCTGAACCATGGAAGAGCCACTGGTAGACTGGTTTCCAACTGCAGCTATTCACTTATTCAGAACCCAGTCTATATGGCTCTTACAGGAACCATTCAGAAAAGGTGGCTCACATTACAGTTTTTCCCCCTCTCCTTCCACTATAACATTGAAATGAGAATTTGTTCATCGCTGTAGTGAGGACCAGCATGGCTTTGTCTCTACTAGGGCTGCCACCTAATTAAATAAATGAAACAGCGCAGTCTAATGAATGTGAGCTCAAACAGAAGCCTCACTGACTTAAAGAAGACTTACTCCCAAATAAATGTTTATAACAGGATTGGAGGACTTTTAGTCTTCCAGCTGTTCTGAATGATGACACACACACAGCACCTTGGTGTTGGCCAGACTACATAGGGTCACAGGGGCCTGAATACTAAAAACCTGAATAGCCAGATGCTTCCTACCTATGATGTATAGGACTGCAGAGCTGTTCACTGAAAAAAGAGAGGGGTACTCCCAGGCACGGACTCAGAGATGTTTGCTATATTATCTGTATGTAATTTGGCCTTAAATGTGTAAAAATAAGATCCATTTGCTTTCCTGTTTCTCTAAAGCAATCGTGGACAAAGTGTGGCCTGGGAGGCCATTTGCAGCTTCCAACACTGTTTTTGAACTCCTCTAGATGCCAACTACTCCTAAAAAGCATCTTCCAGTAAAAGCAACAACAACAATAAACCCTTCCAAAACAGTTTATCACTGCTCCTAGGGGCTCCTAGGAACTAAACATTCAATTTTCAAATACATCACAGGACCCCTCTAGTTCTATTTAACATGAAAATAATTCCAGAAGTTTCCTTCTGGCCACATCTGTGTTTGTTTGTTTTTTAACTTGTTTGGTGTTTTTCATTCGGTAGCACAAGCTAGGAGTCAGCCCTTAGCCCATGTAATATTTTTCTTCCACATATTGGGGGCACATCCTTTTTTTTAAAAAAAGCAATTAAAAAGTAACAGATATACCCACCCACCCCAAGTCATCTTTTGATGAGTTAAAGTCATCATGTAATGTTGTCATAAGTTCATTATTGGAAAAAAAGAATTAATTACAAGTAACTAATGATTTGGTTGTTTTAGGTTTTTCGGGCCATCTGGCCATGTTCTGAAGGTTTTTCTTCTTCTTCAGAACACGGCCAAACAGCCCGAAAAACCAAATCCTAGCCATGAAAGGCTTTGAGATTAAACTAATTATTTGTAACATGTTTCTCCCAGGCTGTTTCTCCTAGTCATGGGGGTGGGTGAGTGGGTGGGAATAATGCACATGTGTGTGTCAGAGGGGAAAGCAAAGCATGAGAGGTGGAAGATCCTTGATGTGGGTAATTTGTTCCTGCTGAGTGCTATGCTTTTTCCTTCCATCAACTGGCAATTGTTAAGACTGCTGTAGTTGCTGCCCAGGGCTGTGCCTCTCCAGGGTGTCTTGTTGCAGACTCTTGGCTAACAGTGGAGAGTGCTTTGGGACCTAAGTGTGCAGCAGTATTTGAAGGGGAAGAGAAGGGGAAGAGAGATTGTTCTTTCTCCATCTTTGCCAGAAGACAGGCAAGTTTTTTTTTATTGAAGAACTTTCTGGTAAATGACTCCTGAAGAGGCTAGGCTGAGGGCTGATGTGTCAATGCACATGTGCGCATATGTAAAGGAGCATTGATAACACCAGAATGGGAACTGCAAAAACAGCTGAGATCTTAGTGTGAATGAGCCATTTGTTGTCTAGATTTAAATCAGAACAAATTAAATTCAAACTGCATAAAAGGTTTACCTGTAAGCCCAGAAAGCACTTAGCTTGCTTCCTAGTGCAGCTGTCTGTAGCTGGAAGCTCATCTTTCTTTAATTTAAAATGATGATGATGATGATGATGATGATGATGATGATGATGTGCCTTAGGTTAGTAATTCAACTTCTGCAAGCTTGTTAGTGAGCAGACAAGGTTTTTGGACAAGCAGATGAAAGGTAACGGTAACCGTTGCCAAGTATCACCTAAATCAGGGGTGTCCAACCTTTCACCTTCCCTGGGCCATATTAGAAGATGAAAATTTGGTTTGGGCTGCATGGGGGGGGCAGCTCTAGCCATCCTCCGCAGCCCCGCTCCAAGCGCGCTTACCGGCAACTGCGATCTCAGACAGCAGAGGCTGCCAGCTTCAACTCCAGTGGCTTCATGGGGCCGGAAAGGGCAGAATGGGAACTGCAAAAACAGCTGAGATCTTAGTGTGAATGAGCCGTTTGTTGTCTAGATTTAGATCAGAACAAATTAAATTCAAACTGCATAAAAGGTTTAAGCCCAGAAAGCACTTAGCTTGCTTCCCAGTGCAGTTGTCTGTAGCTGGAAGATCATCTTTCTTTAATTTAAAATGATGATGATGATGATGATGATGATGATGATGATGATGATGATGATGATGATGTCCTTAAGGTTACTAATTCAACTTCTGCAAGCTTGTTAGTGAGCAGACAAAGTTTTTGGACAAACAGATGAAAGGTAATGGTAACCGTTGCCAAGTATCACCTAAATGAAGGAAGCAGGCTGGCAACAGAATAGCTGACTGGCTATTATCAGTAGAAAAGAGAAGGAGGTACAGTGCAACTGGCATATCTGGCACAGATGGTCCTCCCTGTAAGGAAGCAGGCTGGCAACAGAAGAGCTGGCTGGCTATTGTCAATAGAAAAGAGAAGGAGGTACAGTGCAATTGGCATATCTGGCACAGATGGTCCTCCCTGACAAAAATCTACAGCAGAGAGTGCAAGAACTTCAAGGCATGGTTGCTGAAAAGCTCACTTCTGTTGCTTCAAAAATGAATAAAAGGCATTGCTATTGGAGAATGGCAGGTCTGGTTTAGCCTGACCATATCAGTACTGGAATAGTAGAGGCGGCCTGTTACCTGTGATATATATATATAGCCTAGATGTGTATCAGGTAACCAAGAGATGGCAAAGTTCCTTTTCTGAGCTAGGACTCCTCAGGTTCTTCAGTCACCATGGCCAATAACTAGAAGATTCAGGGAGTTTTAGTACAACAAAGGAACTCTTCCAATTTCTCCAAGTAACTGACAGAGAATGAAAGCAGCTTGGAGGAAAGTCTGGTTTATGTTGAAACTATGCAGTGCCATCACTACAGTATCAACACATGTTGTGTTTGGAGGCATTTCCTTCAAGTCCTTCTTTCTTCAAAAACAGAGAGGCACAGAGCATGTGGTTCAGGAGTACTTGGTATTGTGTAGGTTCGCATTCACAGAGTTGGAAAGAGCTGTAGAGGATAGGTTATTGGTCTAGAAGATGAGAATTTGATTCTAGTGTACTTCAGAAATGTGCCAGGATTGTGGCCAGGCTCCCAGAATCTATAAATTGTTGGGATGCAGCAGAATGGCAGGGATATTGTCTTCTACTGCAATGAGACTTTTAAAAGTAGATGAATGGTTTGCAGCCTAGGGCTTACTAGAGTTTTCTTAAGTCATTAGCAAAGTAAGTACACTTACTACAGATAGAAAAGAGCCATGCTAGCCCTGTCACCTTTGCTTCTGCTTTTGTTGTTGGAAAGGTGATGCTGAGTCTGGAAAGACCCCACTATCTATGGGGGTTCTTCATGCAACGCTGGATGCTGATTTTCTAGGATTCTAACCCACTTAGAGAGTTCCCACAGAGAGGCGAGGTTCTCCATTTCAGACACATCCCCCTCCATGTATAGTAGAGGAATAAAACTAGAAGCAGGTGGTTAGGATTACCCCCCCCCCAATTCCCTTCCACTTGTGGCAAGTGTACTTGCTTTAATAATGAGTGAACAGGGCTTATATTTGGTGCTCATGTAGCTCTCATAGAGGGTTCCTGCTCTAGCATCAAAGAGGGCTCCCTTCCTCCTCTATTCTTTTGCCAATCACATATTTGCTTTACTTCAGGCTAATTTGCCTCTTATTGTGTGGCATGTGCTCTCAGTGAGCTGTTTACTGTGCTCTTTTGGGGATCTAAATGGCCACCTCTTTGTACTTATGAAGGCAAAACAAACGTGCTACATTTACAGCTTCATAGGTCCTTTAAGATACTGCCAGTTAAATCTCAGGAGGAAGTCACTAAAGAGTTTCCTGAAGGAATATGCTCCATAACTATTATAATCTTTGAGAGCTCCCTGAGGGAGGCAGGGCAGCAACCCTGAGGTAAGTATCTGAGGAAGTTATCTTGCGGTAATAATACTTACAGATAATAATATTAAACAAACATGCACCTAACGTCTTCAATCTAACAAATGCACTGACACTTCTCGCAGTGGTTAAACTGCTGTACTGCAGCCAAAACTGTGCTCACGACCTGGGGTTCAATTCCAGGTAGCCGGCTCAAGGTTGACTCAGCCTTCTATCCTTCTGAGGCCGGCAAAATGAGTACCCAGCTTGCTGGGGAGGGGGCAATGTGTAGCCTGCATAATTAACTTGTAAACCGCCCAGAGAGTGCTTGAAGCACTATGGGGCGGTATATGTTGCAGATTGTGCTTTGCTTTTGCTATAGAATTGGTTGGCCAACAAAGCATGTGGGAGTAGAAAAAGAGCTGAGGCATGCCAGTTGCCACCACATATACACATCTGTTAAGATTCTTCAAATACAGAATAGGGACCCTTGTTGCCTCTGTCCTGTTGCAGATTGTGCTGGAACATTGCCAGAGTAGGGCCATATCTGGTCTCCTCTCATTTCTAATGCTTATTTCCCCCCCTTCTCAAGATTCCAAGCAGAATGGCGATGTGAACATCGTGATGTCGGATGAGGAGCAGCCTCTTTCATCATCACAGGAAGAGAAGCAGCCCATGAGGCGCTCAAGTACCAGGGACAAAAGTAGAAAAGCAGCTACTTGCTTTCTTCTGAGTGCTGGAGATTTCCCTTGTGCTGCTGATGGTGGCATCCGGAAAGGTACGAAGGAGAATCTGAGACACGTGCCAATGGATGGAGGGCAGATTGTGGATGAAGAAAACAATATATATTTATGAAGCAGATTTCTCAGCTGAGCAACAGCTAAATCATCATTACAGTTTAAAAGGGAAGGGAATGTTGCATTTTGAGATGGCTGTCCTGCATGACCGTTTCACATCTTTGGTCAGGTTGTAACATTGGGTCTCATTGTTTCTATAACTCTGTCAGTACTGTAGTAGTCAAGGCAATTGTGGCTTCTCCCACCCATTTCTTCCTGGGTTCTGTCAGTGCCCTCATCTGAGGCACTTATGTGGCCCCCACACTATTGCTGCTGTCTGATTTTTACACTACAAGCAATACCTTTCTCTCACATACGTACATACAACGTATAAGACAAGATTCTCAAATGCAGAAAATCCCACAAGGGAGCTTCTGATTCATCTTCAACTCTTTAAGTTGTGTGACTGGTGTTCTTGAAGCAGTTTTTCTGGACAAACACTGCTGTCTTTTATTCACATCCCAAGTCCCTTGGGAGAGATTGTTCTCATTTTAATTTAATTTTTTTTTTGCTTTTGCTATATCACTACTGGAGGCATTTGTTTCCTTCGCATTTCTTTGTTGGTGTTCTTTACATTTTTGTTCATTTTGTTTGTCCCTTGTTCACTGACACTACTTTTTGTGTTGTTACCATCTCTGTGCATTGCCTTATGTTAGACTATTGGCTATTCTTTTACCTAAGATTTTTTAAACACACTGAACAGTTAGAAATAGCTTCTGTCTGTGGGGGTGGGAACAGAACCCTCTGTCTCTGTGGAAAACACAAATACCATGTGTTCCCAAAAATAAGACAGTTTCTTATATTAATTTTTGCTCCAAAAATGCATTAGGGCTTATTTTCAGGGGCTGCTTTAATTTTTTTTTCATGTACAACAATCTACATTTATTCAAATACAATCATGTCATCTTCTTCTGGTTGCTGCACAATGCTACACAATGCTGGAGGGCGGGGTTTCACCTAATTGGGGCTTAATTTTTGGGGTAGGGCTTATATAATGAGCATCCTGAAGAATCATACTAGTCTTATTTTCAGGTTAGGTCTTATTTTGGGGGAAACAGGGTAGCAGCTAAAATATTAAAACACACACACCCAAAAATCCTAAAACAATATCTAGCACTATTCCTCTTTCAATCAAAGGAGGAGGAAAGAAAAAAAACAGAGAACTATTGGTTCAGAGAAATACAGGATAGTGCTCAAATTTTTTAAAAAATTCTAGAAGCAGCACACTAATCAAAACAGCATGCGGGATGAACCACGGACTGTGTAAGTTTTCATATATCGGCTGAGATCAGATTAGATGATGTCTGGAGTCCCTTCCAGTATCACAATTCTGTTATTTTAAGCTAGCAGTATATTTTGTAGAAAAAAAAATCTAGTATAGATACACATTTTCTGTCTCTTTTTAGTGGTTTTCTGTCACCATTTCATCTAGGCTTGTCATTCACAAACTTTACTCTTTTTCTTCACCTTCTTTTCCTCTGATTTGTTATTTTTGTTTGCTCTGTTTGTTCGCGTCTTCCCTTACAAAATGGCTTAAATCTTTTCTTTTGCTATGGCCATATATAGAGCAGTGGCAAGCGATCTGTGGGAGTAAGACCACATGTGGTGCTCAGACTCATTTCACAGATCTGTCAGTTTGGAGCTCTGTTAAGAGTGAGCAGCAAGAGAGAAAGAATGGGGTGGGGAGGAAGCAGTGGACATATCGGGGAGTGGAGGGGAGGGGAAAGGAGTTGGCTTAACAGAGTGCTGATTTTGAACCTGCCTGTTGCTAGCATGTGCCCTTTCCCCCCACTCCTCTGGTGTGGCTGTAGCCCTCAAAAGCAAAAATGTTCCCCACCTATGACATAAAGAATCTGGTTAAATATATTTACTTGATCCCAATTCATTTCACTCTGTTCAGACTGTCCATCTCAGAGATGGGGAATTTGTGACCCTGCAGCGCCTGCTGGGTACCAACTCCTGTTGTTCATTCTGAATGGGGCTTATGGGAACTGGAGTCCAATTATTTTTTGGAGGGCCACAGCTTTTCCAGTCATACATTTTCCCTCCTTCAGCTTGTGCTCTCCTTGTGTCTGCCAGCCTTTATTCTAACACGTATTTTTCCTGTTCCTTCTCATTCTCCTTCCTTCAGGTTTCTCACCAACTGGGACAGATTTTCCCCTGACTTATCCCCCTAATAATATCCCTTGAATTTAGTGCAGCTGAGCTCTGATTTACACCAAGATGCACAAAAGAAGAACATTGCATAGCTCATTTGTTTAAAGGCCACAGTAACTAAGCTGGGTAAATGTGTTGGTTTCCATTACAGTAGCAACCAGCAGTTACAAGGGGGCACATTTAAGATAGACAGTTGAGAAAACATAACCAAATAAGACTGAATCATTATCATGAACAGATCTTCTGGCTCTTTGCCCTTCCGTTGAGAGCTGAAAATCAAGTTGTAACATCACAGTCTGTCTCAGCATCTACCTCTCACCACACAGGCATCACATATTTATACAGTACAGCCCCTCCTCCTGATGTCCCGCCTTCCACTCTCCATAGGATGGAACTTTCCCTCCAAACCCATGACAGACAGGTAACATCAGTGCTGTTATGTAACACCGTTGAGAGCTGAAAATCAAGTTGTAACAGCCTAGACCTGATTCTGAAGCACAGGCGACTTCATTTACTGAATAAGGGCAGGATCCAGGGCCTCTGGAAAGCTTCCTTGCATACAGTGCAAACCAATAAATATTCCAAGCATTAAAGTTCCATAAATTATTCTTTATATATAGATACTCATAGTGAAAGCAAGGTAGAAGTAATTGATATAGAAAAAACAGGAACCCAGAATTGACTGTTGATATCATGAAGTGCTTTAAGCTAAGATTCAGAAACTATGTCTCTCATAATACGTAATAACCATTTCTGTTCAATAGAGTAGAAAAACATACTCAATACAGTAGTTTCCTTTCAGAAGACCATATTTTGAACAGTGAGATGGCCAAAGATAATGTAATGATATTAGGGTTAAGGTGGTCTCTATCTTTGGTTCCATTTGAACCTGTACTGTGTTCTAATGGTGTCCTTCCTTGACTATGTGCTCAGGTCAGGATGAGAGAACGTGTCTAGTTTTGAAAAGTCAGCCAGTATGGTATGAGGGCATTTGTGGATTGTTTGTTCACAGCCTTATTTAAAAGCTGATCTCTGAATCCAGATCATGAGTTTAGCCTGTGCCAGTCCTTCATTTCCCGTGTTGTTGAGAGGGAAATGAAGGATGGAGCATGGAGAACGGAGTGCCCAGTCTTCGTAGGGCACAAAGAGCATTTGAGCACATACTCAGAGGAAAGGGAAACTTCCTGTCTCTAAAAGGAAGCCCTTCAGATGTTGTTTCGCACCGTTGGCTATACTGCTGGGGCTGCTGCAGTTGTGCAACATGTGGAAAGCAAGAGCTTGCCTGCCCCAGCTCTAGATGCATTTATTGGAAGCCCCCAGTGCCCAAGTGGCGGACTGAGAAGCACCAGTAGATCAGCCATCAGGAAAACTGACAAAAGGTCCTTCAGGGCTATAGTTATCATGGTGATATGAATACAGACAAAAATATGACATTACAACTTGGGACTGGGAGATCAATTTACGGACTAAGAGGAATATTTAGAGTAGACTGTTCAAATCTTGGCAAGCTTCTATTACTTGCTTGTAACAGACCTCACGCCCACAGTCTTCTGTCATTTGGAGAGGCTCTGTGTATGGGTTTTTGTCAGTATATATATTCTTCATATTTAAATTGCAGATGAACAAACTGCATGTGAGTCATATGCATACAAGTATATGGTGAACGTGCTTGTTTTCATACTTCAGTGTACAATATAAATGCACAAATTGATATCTGTGAGTATAGTGGTATCTGATGCAAGTAAATATCATTTAAGAACATATGGATGGGCCTTGAATCAATCCATGATAAGCCTTGTGCTGTATATCTAAATAGCTGTGGAGAACTGGGAATTTTATCAGATGCAGCATTTCCCATCACCTGTTAGTTCTGGCAGTCCTAAGCTGACATTTAATGGAGTTGCGTCCAAATGCACATACATGACTGTGGAAGTGAGTCATTAGTCATAAGGCTATGCAACTAATTCCATGCTCATGTTTTCCAGTAGTAAGTCTCTGTACTTCTGTACAATCCTGTGCTTCTGAGTGATGTGAGGGGCTGTATATGGGGAACACTGATTCCAAATAACAGTATCAGCTGCTTTCCTAGTGCTACCACTTTCTTTACAAAATGCCTTCAAACAGTTCCCTGGCAACGAACAAAATTTTAACCGCTTAGAGTGACTTCAACCAGCATCTGTATATGGGGCTAGAAAGGTTGAGGTCTAGCTAAGCTGTGCACATAACAATTAACACAGCAGCAACTAAATACAACACCACTATAAAGCAATTTTCCCATACAGTCCTCAAAGTAGATTAAAAGTCATTTGCTTCCATACCTTCCTTGCTTATGTTTGTACTGGAGTTTCACTTGTTCTTTTTTGACACTGAAAACATTGGGGGGGGGGAATAATCAAGTAGAATCAGATAAAGTGCAAGTATATGTCAAAACCAGACCTGAACTTGCAGCTCATGGTTTATGTTGCTGGGATTTTCAGGAAGAAGCAGGCTGGTAGTATATTGATAGTTTTCATATCAAACCACTAGCTGCTCATCTCAGATCCAAGGGCTGGTAGTACTGTATATTGATAGTTTTCATATGAAACCACTAGCTGCTCATCTCAGATCCAAGGGCTTATATAGATTTAAAGATGTCAGCAACTAGTGTGCAAACTATCTTGTTGCTACATGCTGTCAAATCAGGGCTTATATAGATTTAAAGATGTCAGCAACTAGTGTGCAAACTATCTTGTTGCTACATGCATGAGGACCACCTGATTTATAGTGCCCCCATAAATGATCTCTG